ACGGTGGGACAGACAGGACGCGCTTCGTCCAGCGGTTTGTTGTCCCGTTCAGTGCGCTTCATTTCACCACCAAGTATGCACTCACCAACCGGCCCGAACTTCTACTCCTCTTAAGTACGTCATGCTACGTCATAAATTTAGGCGATTTGTGACGTGTAATGGTGACGTAATGACGTGGTGATATTTTGCGTCACTCGGCATATAGTGGCAAATGCACGTTATCAAAGAATTATCAAACTTAAAAAAATTGCCCGCAGCTTCCCTCGGGGGCACACTGAGGAGGATGCGGAGCCGCTACCTCGGCGCGCTTGCGCTCGCGGGCAGCATAGGGATCGGCCTCTCGTCGCCGACGCTTGCACTCGGCTTCCCGTTTTCGAAAGTCCGGGTCCTCTTGTCGACGCTTACGTTTAAAAGCGGCCGAATCCGGTGCTGCTGCTCGACGCTGACGTCTCTCAGCGGCTTCACGTTCTCTAAGTTGAGCATCTTCCGCTCGACGCCGACGTTTACGTTCGGCGTCGCGAGCTCTTCTCCGCGCTGCCTTGTCTTCGGACGACGACTTGGTTGCGGTTCCGCCAACACTTTGGCCGGCGCTGGTCGAAGGGACGTCGATCATTGCGACCTCGGACGTCGACGCGCCGTACAAACCAACCGACGAGCGGCAACTGAGCGAGCGAGCACCGGCCTTGAGTATATATACAGCGCGACGGCGCATGCACTGTCAGCTGTCGAATGTTCGAGAAGGGGGAGAAGCGCAACGGCGCATGCGCGCGCGTCAGCTGCCGATGTTCTCGAAGCGCGATGGCGCATGCGCGCGCGTCAGCTGCCGATGTTCTCGAAGCGTGACGGCGCATGCGCGCTACATTATACAGCTAGCGAATGTTCGTGAAGAGGAGAAGCGCACGCGGTGTGTAGAGGAGGAAGGGTGCACAGATGGTGGAGGAGTGAAGCGCGCGCAGTGTGTAGAGGAGGAAGGGATGCACAGATGGTGGAAGAAGGCGAAGGAACCCTGCGGACGGCGCCGCACTACAAGCCTCGAGTATTAGATGCTCCGCATCTAAAAAACGCGTTCACCCGCATCGGAAAGCTTGATTAGAAGTCATACACTGGGTCACAGGGAGCTACTCGCTCAATGTATCGCATGGCATCAATTTCAACGATGCGTTGAAACAAATAACTTTTTTTTTCTGCGGTAAAAATTTTAAAAATTGTTTAGACATTGAAAAATTAACTAAACATAAACTGCGTGATACAATGACCGGCTATGAACGTTTGTTTTGAATAGAGTGAACCTAGGCGGGTTTGCAATATTTGTGTAGAACACGCTGTCGCGGAGAATAGTGTCCGTAGTCAAATTACATGGGTCGCAAAACTTGGAACGAAAAGGGTCGGAAACCTATTGTCACAAGTGTCAACTCCCGCCGGCGATTGAAGCGCGACTAGGTGAGAAGGGGACAAACAACAAAAGCTAAAAACTCATTATGATTCCTTCTTCAAATATCCGTAATTTTAGATATATCAAAGTTAACTGTAAGCTTACTATACGGTGTATCTCAGACCTGGATAACTGGTTGATTGCCTCAAATTTTCGTCGAGTGCCATAAATGGGGCGGGGGCGTATCTAGGCTATCTGTTATCAGAGCTTGTGTTCGGCGTGTTTTTTTTTGGTTCGGCGCATTGCCAGCTGTGTTGGCTCGCTCAACGAAGCAGCGCTCACTTTTCCGAGGTGGTATCGTGCGTACCTTTAGTAGTCCACTTATTTTTGTATGTGCTGTTTACTGGTGGGACATTTCAGAACTCAACAAGGTCACAGAATGTGTAGATAGCCACTGCTGCGACTGCTTTCGCAGGCGTACGGCCGGCGTGCCCTCGCCTTTGGTGACGGTGAACGCGACACGCTAAGCAACGATACGCTACGCTGTACTCTACGGCAGCCAAAGCTATATTTTCAAAACTGGTGTCCCGCTGCCGTTGTTTTCGACGATTGGGCAACGTGAGTTTTTGAACTATTATGCTATTGTGCTCGGGAACAGTTGTTTCACAATTGCCCCTGCGAAGTTTCTTCGCAGGGGCAAGTACGCAATTTTACTAATAAAACAAGTTTGCTTCCTGAATCTTCGTTTTACTTAGGGGCGAAGCTCTTTAAGCCGTGGGTCGTACGTCCACGACGTATGTACTAGTAGTAGTGAGTTGTATTGTAGTAGGTAGCCACTTCCACGGCCGGACTAGAGGAGCGGCACCCGCGCACTCATTCAAATTGAGGATGAAACCCGCGCCAGTTAAATATAATTAAAAAGACAGTTGTTTCTGATGAAATAACTTACAGAGACTAGTATTGGTGACTTAATCTTCAATAAAATTTGCCTTGATTTTGATGCTTACCAAACAAAACTAGTATCAGAAGGACGCACTGTGAGCACTGCCTGGCAAGAAAGGGTTGCCACGTTAAACTCGCTGGGCGTAACCTGCTTGGTTTTGGCAAGGTTTAGCGACCGGGTCGGTCCGCAGTGCCATGAACTAGCGGCGGTGAAAGGTGGGAACTAGACACGAAGCACAAGCCGTAAAAAAGAGCGCGCGTGCCGCTCCTCTAGTCCGGTCGTGTTACCTCTCGTTTAGTCCTTCTATTGCCCGCTGGATGGCGGTACTTCTATATATGATGAGGGGCTGGAGGTTAACCAAAAGGCAGTCGGCAGGTTAGCTCTGGGAGCTCACAATAAGACTACAAACGAGGCTGTACAAGGCGATATGGGTTGGGCTTCATTTGAGGCGAGGGAAGCACAAAGTAAAATACGGTTTGAGGAGCGACTTAGACATTTAGATGAGAAGAACTGGGCAGCCAGAGTGCACAGGTACCTGTACCTGAAAAGTGTGGACACCCAATGGCGGAAGAGGACGCGAAAGCTGGCGACTAAATATAACTTGACCGCGGCAAATAAACAAAGGGGGCCAGTTAAAAAAAGTGCCGCCATATCCACGAAGTGAATGATGATGAGTGGGCGAAGCTCTGGAGGAAAACCTGGTAAACCATGAATCTTCCGTACATTTTGCCTACTCGATTTTATTACAATGCTCCCCCTAGCGTACGTCGCCTCACTAAATCGAACGATTGCCTTCCACCAATGACACGTGCCATATGTGACATCATTCCTATTTTATAACATCTCGCATCTTTCATCATCAACTACAAGTACCGCCGTCTAGTTTATAACATCTTGCATCTTTTCATCATCAGCTACAGGTCCCGCCATCTAGTGAGCACTGAAAGAACTAAACGAGAGGTGGCTACATGCAGGAGACGGTGCCGCCATCTAGTGAACACTGCAAGAACTAAACGAGAAGAGGCGACATACGGGAGACGGTACCGCCGTCTAGTGGACACTGCAAGAACTAAACGAGAGGTGGCTACATACAGGGGACGCACAGCCCACGCCTTAAGGAGCTTCGCCCCTAAAAGCAAGTGAGGGAAACAGAGACGCTCATGTGGAAAGAGAGGATGGAAAAGAAGGGATCGCTGGGAATCTACAAGGCAGGCAAACAAGAGATCCGGAAAGAAAACTTTTATGACAACGATAAAGGTAGTGCGTTGCTCTTTGAGGCGCGGGCTGGCTGCTTGAGAACTCTAACTTACAGGAGCAAATATTCGTCACAGGATGAGACATGTGTTGGATGTGGCATAAATAAAGAAACAATCGACCACATAGTCATGGAATGCCAAAAGATTCAGCCGGATAGAAATGGGGGGGGGGGGGGAAAGTCACACTTCCTGAGGCGCTGGGCTTCGCGGTTGATGGAAGCATTAACTGGTCAGCAGTAGGTATTACTAAGCAGCGGCTGGAGTATTTGTGGAGGAATAAGCAGAGAAGTCGATAAAATAACATCCTAGCCAAGAGTAGCGGCTGGGCAGAATTAAAAAGACATCCGAGTTGAGGGACAAAATTTAAACTCGAACTATTAAGGTAGGCTAGATGGCGCATGCTGTCACCCCGATTCAAAGGGGAGGCCTTTAATCATCATCATCATCATCATCATCATGAATATATGATGAAAAGATGCGAGATGACGGTACTTAAGAATGTTTGCTAGATGGACGGACGGATGCACAGACGCGCGGATGGTAAGACAGACAGATGTACAGACGGACAGACGCATGAATGAACGAATGGAATGATGCACGGATGGACGCACGGTCGGACGCAAGGACGGAAGCAAGAGCGAACGGACGGACGGAAGTGGGGACAGACTGACGCATGCTTCGCCCCACTCATCATCATTCACTCTGTGTATATGCTGTGATTTTTTTTTTCTTTTAATTCTCTCCCGCATGCAATTCGCGACGCGCAAGGTGCAATAAAATTACCTATTAATAACAGCACATAAAAGGTCAGCAATTAAGGAAAAAAATCGATTTCGCGCCATGTAGGACAAATACGCGACGTCGCGACCGCTTCGGGTTGTGACGTCATATTTATTTATTTTTTGTTTACTGTTGTTTCCTCCTCACGTACACGGCGACGAGGGTAACGAGCCGCCGACTACTGGATCCATGGGCTTCTATCAAAGTTACGCTACCAGTTCACATATACCTTCTAGTGTCTACGAGCCATTCATTCGAGCAAAACTGCGATTCATTCGAATGTGGCCGCCAGCTGCAGCTGCAGTTCATCACGTGATCGCTTCGTTGCACTCGGAACAAGGAAGTTTCAGGCTGATTACACACCAATATAAATAAAACCAGCTGTTGGCAGCCATGTTCTGAGTCATCCTAGCCCGCTCACGCGCGATTGTTGCTACACGTGACGCGGGAACGCCCAGCCGACGTTGCGCAACATTTCCTCCAACCGTCGCGACGCGAAAGGCCTCGCCGCTGCCTTCTGTATCAACAACCCTGCCAAGGTCGCAGCCAGTGCTGCAGTCTAGACGCGAGCCACCGCGCACATTTGCCTGCATCATTAGACCCTCCGCATGCCACTCGTTTAGGTACGATACAAGCACGTTGTACGTACATTCTGCCTTTCCGTCCTGGTGCGCGAGGGCGTCGCAGATGTTGGGCGCCGCTTTCGAGTCCGCACAGAGCGCACACGCGCTTATGTCCGCCTCCGCGCTACACATGCCAATCCGTAGCGACTGGCGCGAGCGAACCCGCGTAGCGATGGCGTGGCTGCTGTAAAAGCCAACAGCTCCTCGGCGCACTCCTCCGTTATCAAAACCGCGCGTGTGTGGCTTTGTATCGCCGTCTCCGGCTAAAGGGCCTCCGTCGCTGTCTCCCTTTCCCGTCCGTTCGTCACGTCAGCTCGTGGAGGAAGGAATAATACGTCAGCTGCTCGCTGTTGCTATCGCTGAAGGCTCGCTGCGTGTTGCGTATTAAACTTTTTTTTTTACGCTTCGCGTGGCGGCAGCCCAGATGTTGCGGCAGTGTCACATGCGTCGCCACGAGCTTCCGGTATCAGGCATGGCGTCTTCCGAGTTGAAAGCGAGTTCGTTCGTGGCGAGAAAGGTTTGCAACAAGCCGTAGTGGTAGGTGCAGCTAATTTACGTACTATCGAATAAACGTAGCACTGAAGGTACACATGTAGAGTAGGTGTTTTTCCTTGGATAATACAGACCTTTTAAATAGAAGTCATGTGACTCGGACATTACGTCGAGCCGGAAATACCATACCGCACCTACAGTTCCATAGCAATAATGAACGAACTCTCGTGAATTGACTTTTTTTTAAATTATTAACTATTTATAGGACACTTGAACTTGAAACATGTCACAATATATGACGCACACATTATTTTAAAAATCTTGTAAATTTTACGTCATTTGAGGTACCCCCCAAAAATCAGTCCACTTTTGTCACGATACGTTGAAAAATAAAAATTCTCACTTTGTTATTTCCTAGTTGTGTAAATAAATCAAATAAGTAACGTCAGGTGGGTTTCCGAAAGTTTGCGTTTTCGTCGATTGTGGGGCAGTCTTGCGAGAGAATACAAGCGCTAAGTAATTAAAACAAAAGTAAATCAAGATGTGTCTTATGCGTTCGATAAGATGACGCGAATGGGAAAGCCTTAGCTCCTTTGTTTTGCACTAAAGGCGTAGTACACAAAGTGCGGCTTTAACGAGCATCCTAAAGCTGACGTTTAATTAGGCTTTATTAATTGTACTAATTATCTAATAAACTAGAGCACGATTGCAACTAATTTCCCATATTACTAATGACTGATTATGTATACGATTATGTATATCATGGTACGCATCGCGCTGCCTTCATTAACCTGAGGGGTCGCATGATATTTTATGAACGATTTTGTTGATTGATTGGTTGATATGTGGGGTTTAACGTCCCAAAACCACCATATGATTATGAGAGACGCCATAGTGGAGGGCTCCGGAAATTTCGACCACCTGGGGTTCTTTAACGTGCACCCAAATCTGAGGACACGGGTGAACGATTTTGTGTCACAGCTGACGTTTTCGACCATTGCTACGTTCGCGGGGGAAATGTGAGGGTTCGGCTATAATAAAGGCTTTCGTTAGTGAAGAGTCACTTGCATGCGGTGATTACTTCGGTACATTTTGTTTCCGAACTCCTTTTCAGTATCTTCGACCACGCTGTTTTTTCATGGTATGTAGTGGAAGGTTAGCACCTGACAGTATATAGGCATACAAATGCGGCTGAAACTCCAAACTCCATCAATGTTGGCATTATTGATGCAACAATTCGTTTTTCTCGAACGGCGTTATCATTGGTGTAAACAACAATGATGACGACGACGACGACGACGACAACAACAACGACGACGACGACAACAACAACAACAACGACAACAACAAGTACACCTTATAATAAATTTATTGCACGACCATGACAACGATTTTGTTCAATTTCTTGTCTGTGTTCATTCATGGTGAAAAGCTTCATGGTAAAAGTAGCACACGCACATGCACGCCGACAGAAAGCACCACAACAACATCTTGTATCGTCTTTATTTATGTAGTCAAATGGCTTTGTTTTATCGTAACTCACGGACAGGCAAATGCTGCGCTAACGTGCCCGTCAGATATTTTCTAACAGTCTTCGATGTATGCTATGTTATATTTTCTAGAGCTGAAATACATATATGACTATTTTATTATGTGAACTTACGTAACAGAATATATTCCTTTGTTGCTTGCCTTATATTTTCGTGTAGTTTGGCATTTGCCACTTTTCACGGCTTCTTAATGAGGCTTTGCCTAATAAAGTGATTTTGCTTAATAATTCTAATAACAAATAAAAAATGCTACACATGCTAATTGGAGATTTAAAAATCTGTCCAATTACTTTGATTAATAATCGATTGCAGAGATTTGCTTAATCGACCTTAACATTAAGCCTTAACAGTCTACAATTTCTCAACAGGCATTTCTATTTATTCGCAGCATGCTTTTACATAACACAGGTCACGGTCTTCGTGTCTTTAAATTTGCATAGGGTTCTACCACGTTTTTAAATTAGTGGTTGAGATGAGTCGATGATTGGGTAGGTACAACGTCCGTGCACTTGGTAATATGGCTGCCTGTCCACATCCGTTGGCGGGATGAGCTTCCCGTCTTTCTGCCATCCTCGTACAAGCCAAATGGATCCAGTTAGGAAAGCCTGAAGGAAAGTGCAAGGCAGTATTTCATCAAATAGCCTGCTGAAACAGTATATTCTAGAGTCTAATTTACAGTTTTCACTCTTTCAATACTTTGTAGTCGGCTCAAATGCGGCTCGCGAGAACGCCTCACAAAATCTTGTTCTCACCAGAGAAATTGCTTCAGCTTACGAGGGGAGATACGCGCAGTCGGTGCCAGTGATAGCGAAGGGAGCGAGATACGTCACCCTTTCCCTCACCCTCAAACGTGACGAGGACTACAATGCGCTATTGTAATTTACTGTTGTCAATCAATCAATCAATCAATCAATCAATCAATCAATCAATCAATCAATCAATCAATCAATCAACGTTTCACGAAAAATTCGGGATGCTATTCAGGCCTGAAAGCTTCTACAGGCAGCTTCTCTGAGTGCCTGAAGACCCACAAATTTACACTATACGACGTTCACAACTCGAATTTGCATATCGGATTGCAATCATAACATACCAGAGTAATACTGTAACATAGTTTCAGTAGAGTAATAAACTTTGCATACATAGAGTGAAAGTATACAGGCTCCGCTTCAGATTTTTCACGCAGTATAAACTTCATTATGTAATAATGTCCGACCTCTTACTGCGAAAAAATAAATAAAATTATTTTGTGAACTTGAAATAATGTGTGTTTCGAATACAAGGTGTATAAGATTTCCAGAGAAAAAAAAAATAGATCAGGCAACAGTCCAGCTAATACCCGCAAAAGATGCGCTTGGATAAAGAACGCCTGTGAATATGCAGCACTGCTACACACAAAAAAATGTCTTCATAAGTGCGTCTCTCGCAGTGTCTTACCCATACAGAGAGGAGTCCGAACAACCACATGGAGGCGGCCCTGTAGCCAAATATGGACACCAGAAAGCCCGAAAGCGGTGCCAGGGGAATAGTTCTGCAAGGAAAATTCACGGTTAGACCTAAGACTACAAGGACGATGGAAAGGGCAAAATCATATTTTGTTCTCGCAGCTATGTTACAAGAGCTGTGCCACACGAGCGTTGGGCATCATAGCGAGGTTCTCGTTGAGGCAGGCTGTATGAGCTAAGATTGTGTGTGAAGGATTACTGGTCAGCTGCCAGCTCACAATATGACCTACTACGCAACGCTGACAGACAGAAGAGTGTTTTACACTCGCCGTAATGGCTACTCGCTACGCTGACTAACGCTCCCAGGATTTTCCTAAGAAGTGAACGGGGGATGGCTGCCATGGTAGCTCAGTTGGTATAGAGCATCGGACGCGCTATTCGAAAATGGCAGGTTCGGTCTCTGCCAGCGAAAAGTTATCTTTTCGTCCACTTTTTTTTCTTCACATCGACAGTGTAATTACTACTGATAGCATTCCCTGTACTTTCCTTGACACAATTGTCTGTTAGTTCTCATTATTGCGTTTAATAAAGTAGAGCCCTAATATGTACACTTCTTGCCCCCCCCCCCCCCCCCCACGGTGTTTTTGTGGTTACAGGTCACGGGATTGAATCCTGGTTGCGGTGGCCGCATTTTCGATGAAGGCGAAAATGCTTGGGGCCCGTGTACCTAGATTCAGGCGCGGATATACGGTCGACATTTCTGGAGACCTCCACTTCAGCGTCTCTCATAATAACATCGTGGTTTCAGAATGTCAAACCCTAGCAGTTATTATTATTATTATTATTATTATTATTATTATTATTATTATTATTATTAATATTATTATTATTATTATTATTATTATTATTATTATTATTATTATTATTATTATTATTATTATTATTATTATTATTATTATTATTATTATTATTATTATTATTATTATTATTATTATTATTATAATGTACACTTCTTTTCTACTGTCACACAAGTAACAAGAAAACAGACATACCAACACGAGAAGCAAAGGAAAATATCACCGCCCGAGCACTCCGTGCAAATGGTTAAACAGCGAAAGCTGAGGCCCCGTGTATAGCAGTGGGTTCAACCCGACGCTGAACTGAGGCCTTCTACAGTTATTAGTTTGTTCTTTATAATGAGGTTATCCTCACGTTCGGCTTGGGTACCACGGTGTTTATTTCACATGCCGCACGTTGTGCCTCGCGTGATCTAAGAAATGGAAGAGTGTAATGATCGCTTGAATGCGTTTCGCAATGCGTTAGTGACAGTGGTTGTTCTTGAATCACAGGTGGTCACAGACGTTGCAGTCGAAGCTAAAGTGCTAAAGGATGCGCTCACGCAATCATAACGTTGACGGCGCAACGGCACTTGTTCGATATAGGCACTGCGCCGTGTCGCCTATAGGCAGAAATAAATAAGGTGCCCTTCTCCTTTGTTCATGAACCACGTAATCATTGTCCGGCGCGGTTTTGTTGCAAGCGTTCGACATCACGAGCTGAATCGCGGTGCGGTTTGCTGGACACATGTTGCTAAATCCCACACTTTGCTGGATCCGCCCGCCACCAGCGCTTGCCTTCCCTGTTCGTGATTGAGTGCGGTTTGGAGGGCCGCTGGATCATCGGTACGCAGTTGCTGCCGGCACTCGGCATCCTGGGCCTGTTCTTGTGCCAGGACTGCACCATCGGCCCGGCGAATGCGAGCTCTCTCGTTTGTTCCGTCAACGCTCTTCAAGAGTTGTCCATGGCTTACCCATGTGGAAGTTCTCAGTAAAACAGATGCGCACGCGTGCTCGGCAGGACGCTGCGGTGAGATGGACGACGTCACTCACAATGCAGCCAATGAATGGCACGCGTGCTAGGGTACGCCACCACTGAGAATGACGCAATATATAGCCTATAGGACGGCCAATGGAGACCGCTGCCGGACAGTTTTTCGTTTCTTCTAGATATATACAGATCCCACTGTAAAAAGAACAGAAAATTCAGATATATGTCAGCAATATATGCCACAAGCTTGTTCAGCTCCGCTAAAAAAGAGGTCACTGCCACTGCATCCATTATTTAACTCCAGATGTGGTTCCCGCTATAGCATGCAATGCGCCGAAAAAAAAAAAATCTTGGACCATCTCCCCGAAGGGAACCTTGATGGGATGCGAAGCAGCAGTGTTGCGCACGGGTGGCGGCGTTGAACGGTGCTAACGCGGGTGCTGTGGTGAGCGCTGGAAGATTTTTTATGAAACGATGGCTGGCGTATGACACGTACAGTATCAATTTTCATGAAAGGGAACAAGGGAGTGCATGAACCACGTGCTCCGGTGGCTGCTGGCAGCGCCTTCAAGCGGGAGTGAGAGCAACCACAGTCTCTTTTCGCGTCATCTCGCCGCGAGGAAAACAACTATTCGTTGCTGATCTAGAAGCAGCGGCAAGATTGTAACCCCCTCCCCCTTCAAGGCGATTACGCGAGAGACGGGAATTGTTTTGAAGGAGGAGGGGCTGCAATCTTGCCGTTCTATATCAGCAACAAATGATTGTTTTGGTCACCGCGAGATGATGCGAAAAGAGACTGTGGTTGCTCTCTATCCCGCTTGAACGCGCTGCCAGCAGCTGCCGGAGCGCGCAGGCCACGCGTCGCCGTGTTCCCTTTCATAAAGATTGACATTGTACAGACATGTTTCAACGCGTACGTTAGGCACGCGTCAGCTTTATTGCGCGTGAATTGACGAGTCGGCGCTGTAACGAGCGGTGATCGTGGCAGGTGTTGTGAACGAACGGATGAGGCGGCAGCTGCGGACACCGCGGTGAACGCGCAACATGAGAGGGAGAGAGTGACGTCAACGTGCACTGCGAGAGGAGCGTGACGTCAAAACGAAGCAGCCGCATGACCTATTTGGCACCGCGCCAATACCTGCAGCGCGCGGTACATTTCTATGTACCAGCGTTACACAGGCTAGTAAAAGCTACTTCGCATCTAAAAGACAACGTGTGGGTGCTAGTACTGCAAGCAAACTGTTTTTTTTTTGTAGTGTAAACTACACTGACCGAGGTTGAGCAGTTTCACGTGGCTTATTGAGAGCCGTGCTGCGCATGCCCTAGGAGCAGTGACGGCCCACGGTGAGCAGCTGGCGTGCCGTAGATGGCCTGGAAGCTTCTGGAGTGATGAGTGGGCTGACACTTCACTCGAGTGAGCTCGCTCACTAAACCTTCCGTCCGTCCGTCCGTACGCGGCTCGCTTTACATGTATGCTGGCATAGCAGAGCTAAGCGACTACTTAATTTTTTTTCTGAAAACTTGGAGCTGTTTCAGCTGACCCTAAGTTGTTGTACGCGACCAACAAAGCGCCACACCACCTCGCGTTGTCTGGTAACGCGAGAAGATGCACGCAGGGGTGTGCATCTTCTCACGCGCTCCACAAACGGCAGCTGCGTGCTACTCTGTATGCACCGGGACGTTATCATGGCGCTGCTGTCCTTCACCTGACCGGAACTCGCTCGGTCATGCCATTCGATCACCTCATTTGTGTCTTCATCCTTGCGCCACTAATGCAAGCAATGCCGACCTTTTTTTTTTTCTGAAGGACATATCACCATGGTCATCGCGTGAATTTTTATATGTACGCACTCGAGCAGGCTTGCGGCTACAGAGCAACTGCACGTGTTTTGAACTTTCGGGATAACGTCCCACTTGAAAGGGCTCGCTGTCTGAAGCAGAACATTGACGTAAGACGATTGTACAAACGAGAGATAAAAGCAGCTATATCTTTCTGCAAGTTTTCTGGCTTATCGACATTTCTTTATCCAAAAACGAGAGAGATATATCAATAAGGCGAAAGAATATAGGTATTATAAGGCTCTAATTTGATTTCGTACATTGACTGACGTATGGATACACTAATAAATTCCAGCTTTTGCGTGGCATTTTTTTTCTTCAATAAAGTGGTGTCTTCATCTTCGGAGGCATTATTACTCTTAGGTTTTTATAATAATTTACAGCAGCAAGTCAGTGACTATTAATTGGTCAGGAGAGTCTGTGGTGGATTATTGAAACTGTTTCGTGTATTGAATCTCATTCGTCGTCGTCAACGGCTAATTTCTAGTTCCTAAGAAAAATTGCATGACCATGCTCGCTAAAACTGTCATGATAATAGGTCATGTGGTTATTCAATTGAGAGCATAGAGTGAACATGTTAATAAGAATTTTCTTTACCTGTGTGACATATCTTCAAAAACAATCGGAAGAAACGAACGTTAAATGTTTGCTGGAAATGATAATGCAATTTTCTTCTTATTTTTCTCGCACGTTCTTGTTCGTGCAGCATTAAATAGCGCGTTCGTCGCGAATAAATGGAAGCAGCGCGAAAAAGAAACACGCAAAGCAGGACCAGCGCAGTACAGCCAACTGAATGTTTATTAAATATTCACCACTTATACCTATGTCTTCACTAAAATGCCACAATTATTCAAGATTACGAACATGCTTCGTGTTTATTTGTGCGCTCTTCATGCCCCTTATGATACTCGTATGATTTCAGCGCCGTTCCTACGCCACAAAAACAAAAAAACGACACTTTGTAAGTTTAAAAGTTACTTACAGAAAGGTAGAGGGGTCGGCCTGAGCTACAGTTTGCACTGGCCTGCCACTATTCCAAAGTGTATTCGGCGCAAGCCTAGAGCTGTTCGACTGACTGTGCCATGTCCTTTTTTTTAGTTTGTTTTTCTTCATTCTTGCGTTTTCGTTTGTTTTCTTTTTGTTGTTATTTTCTTTTTCTACCTTTTTCTCAGCAACCACGCGATTGAAGTGAGTGTAAAAGAGAGATGCTACGGCAATATGAAGCTTTGCGCCGCGGTGCTATCACGTGATTTCTGAGAAAGTATGCGGAGGAGAGTCAACATCTGGCACCGTTCCAGGGCACGAACCAGTGGACACCAGTATGAGACGTTAAAGGATTTCGCCTTAATAACCAACTACTTCATATGGAACTTCAGTGTGGAAACTGCTACAGCATATTAGAGTATTGGATTCCATTGAG